AGCACCAAACAAAATGGAAGATATATATCTGATGATGTACAATTATATCTTATACATGGAATCTTCCACACAATCAAAACAATCATGAAGAAAGCTGAAACATTAGCTTAGGATATATCAACAAAATGACAATCATGTTGACAATATAGCTTACTTATTACGTACTTAAATGATCACAGGATTAATGTTGTTCATTTATTAATTACATGTAATTTGTATTTTAATTTTTAAATACAGAGAATTTTGCCTAATTCTAGTCAAGCACTGTATGTGTCTGATAGAATGATGAATTTACCTCCCTATAAACCCAACTCAAAAAGTATTTGTCAGAAGTGGCAAATAAACAATTTTCTTAGAGAGGCCAATTTCATTTTGACACAAATTGATTTTTGTTAACATTTTGTAGAAAAAAATCTTTAGCTGCATAAAGTATACTTAAGTTGTATATAACACGACATGCTTATTAATTCAACAAAGAAAAAAATCAAACTTAATATATCAGATATTAAAATGGAAGCTTACTTCTTGAACAAGATGTTGATGAAAATATGTTGAGTACTTTAACTTACAATTTTTTTTTTTTAGTGGAAAAAAATCAAAATGTATCGCTGCCAGCTAATTCTTGTTTTACACAATGGCGTCCTTGATATACAAGTATAAACAGCAGATAATGGCATCACAATGTTTAGAATACACCCCTGCATAAATATATATATAACAACAATGAGCCATGCAAATATGTACAAAAATGAGACAGATGTTTATATGAATAAATAACACCATCAGAATTTATATAAATACCTTCATGCAAACTTATATTCACAATGGAATTTTTTTTCAATAAATCCAATGGATTTGTCCATGGTTCATCTGGACATAACAATTCATTTATTTTTAAGGAAAGTTTCAAAATACGTACTGATTGATATCAAGATCTCTTTTCAAAATATATAAGCTGCATCACGTCAAAACCAACATAATTGGTTTGTGACCAGCATGGATCCAGACCAGCCTGTGCATCTGTGCAGTCTGATCAGGATCCATGCTGTTTGCTGACCAACTCTTTTCCAAGTAGAGAAACTAATAGTAAACAGCATGGATCCTGATCAGACTGTGCCGATGCGCAGGCTGGTCTGGATCCATGCTGGTCGCAAACACACTATGTTGGTTCTGTTGTGACGCGGCTCATATAGTGATTGAATAGCCAACAGTGCAAACCATGATCAAACAGCATGGATTTGACGGCTGATCTTGGTTAGCACTGGTTGCATGGGTAAAATCTGTTGCTGTTAACAAACTACAAGTTAAACATTTAAATTTTCAGTCCCCACATTGGAGGCTTCTTGTTCACAGTTACCAATATAACCTGCCTGAAGGTATTTATTTAGATGGTGTAAATAAAGCTGAGCATATTATAACAACAAGTCAGATCTTTCAATGGTAAGTAAAGCTGCAGTTTACGATTACATTTTACAAGATATATAAAAAAAAACTTCATAATTTATAGACTTTGATTCACACATTAGCATGGTATAAAACTTTGATTCCAATTCATTATACCTGAAAACCATAATTCGAACGTATCTTATATCTACAGTACAGCTTACCAAATTACATCAATAAAAGAAAATTCGAGCAAATAAATCACAACCTGCCAAATGGCCTGAATGTTACGATAAATACACTAGTATCATAATATAATAAACATATTTCAGCTAATTCCTAAACTCAAAATAAAACTTGTTTTGTTTTTTTTGGTAATTACTGACAGTTTAACACATGTTTAAGGAATAATGAAAATGTTCGTAAGAAAGAGATCTTATTATTCATACTATATGTATTTATACTATTAATGCCAAGCCATGACTAATTTCATCATAATCAATATTTTGTAATTCAACTCTTTTAATTTAGCTGTTTAACTTAACATTGCAAAATCTATATTCCCACTAAATATCCCTTATTTCTGAAAAAATGATGTAAATCAATTTAATTCAAATCAAAACATACAGGTCTGTAAATTACAATGTTTCAGAAATAGAAGGATTGACATTGTTAGACAAAGTTGGCAGTTAAAACAATCCTGCATTTGTTCCATGTTTCAAACTATTAAATCATTCCCAGTTTAGTCCAAACTTCATCAAATTTAAACCTTCCCAGTTTTGTCCTGGCTTCATATAGTTAAAACCATCTCAGTTTCAAATGATTAAAACCACCCCACTTTTATCCAATTGACAAATGGTTAAAACCATCCCAGTTTTGTCCCGGTTTCAACCAGTTAAAACCAACCTCTATGTAGTCTATAAATGTAACCTTCTACAAGTTTACTATCTTACAAAACATGAATACCTGGAAATTATTACAATTTAGGTGAAAACAAACTGAAAACATATCAGAAGCAAATTTGTAAAAAAAACTGGACAGTGGTCAAGCTTAAAGCTGAATTCAAACTAGACCTATCACTGAAGGTGATTAATACCCCCACCAGCAACTTTTTGAAAAATAAGTAGTCTGAAGAAAAATTTCAACACAAACTATCAACTGTGTACAAAGAAATATTTCAATTAATTGTAATCCCAACTGGGGTCTCCAAATAAGCTTGCTTTTCACAAAGTTTGATTACAATATCTCATTCCTAACTCTATTTATTGTCCGGAAACCATTTTTCTATTTTTATTTACGGTCACCTTGACCTTGACCCCAGGGGGTCCAAAAACAATACCAACCCAGGTCTTCATATAAGCTTGCTATACACCAAGTTTGATAACAATATCTCATTCCTAACTCTAGTTTTTGTCCGGAAACCATTTTTCTATTTTTAGTAACGGTGACCTTGACCTTGACCCCAGGGGGTCCAAAAACAATAACAACCAGGTCTTCATATAAGCTTGCTATACACCAAGTTTTGATTACAATATCTCATTCCTAACTCAAGTTATTGTCCGGAAACCATTTTTCTATTTTTAGTAACAGTGACCTTGACCTTGACCCCAGGGGGTCCAAATGCAATACCAACCCAGGTCTTCATATAAGCTTGCTATACACCAAGTTTGATTACAATATCTCATTCCTAACTCAAGTTTATTGTCCGGGAAACCATTTTTATATTTTTTTAGTAACCATGACCTTGACCTTGACCCCAGGGGGCCTAAATGCAATACCAACCCAGGTCTTCATATAAGCTTGCTATACGCAAAGTTTGATAACAATATCTCATTCCTAACTCTAGTTATTGTCCGGAAACCATTTTTCTATTTTTAGTAACGGTGACCTTGACCTTGACCCCAGGGGGTCCAAATGCAATACCAACCGGAGTTTTCACATAAGGTTGCTATATACCAAGTTTGATTACAATACCTCATTCCAAACTCTAGTTATCGTCCGGAAACCATGATGTGGACCGACCGACGGACCGACCGACCGACGACCGACCAACCGACCGACCGACCGACAAGCTGACTCCTATATACCCCCCTAAACTTCGTTTGTGGGGGTCGACGGACCGACCCGAACCGACCGACCAACCGACCGACCGACCGACAAGCCTGACTCCTATATACCCCCCCTAAACTTCGTTTGTGGGGGTATAATTAACACAAAAAATGCCCTCCAGTTAACACAGCTGAGAAATACATGTATACATACAAATGTAAAACACTGAAAAATCTGTATGCCCACTCGATTAAGTGATCATATATAATAGTTTTGATATGCTACATAGTATGTTTACAAACAACCTTGAATAAATAAACCAATCAACACTAATATCTCTCAACTAAATATACACATAGCAAGCAGACTTATCATAGAGCAGATCTTTTTAAACTAAGAATATGGCCAGCGGCAAATAATGAATTTGTACACTTACTGTTGCAACAAGAGTTGAGATTATGTGACGGCTCTTCCTGTTTATTCACTTCCTGTTTATTCACTGACGAAGAACATATTTGTTCGAAATCGATTTGAATATTAAAAAAATAACTGAATGTACGCGTGTGGTTGTTCTTTTTGGATTCATACACTTACTGTTCAAACTTACAGTGTTTATTTCTCAAAGTTATGGAAAAAAAATCTACAAACAAAGCAAACTATGTCCCTCCTAACACTGATGTGGAATTGGAAGACTTTTTACATATTTTGCAGCAAATTAAATTCAGAGTGATTCCCTTAAATATATGACCAAAACTAAAAACACTAATTAATGACGTTTTCCAGTTACAACACCATGATCAATTTTTTTAAACAAGTTTAGAAACTTGACTTTGTATCAAAGTATAAGAATATTAGACAGAATGCCTGGCCATTCTCACTGTTTAACCCTTATCACGCCAACTATCTAAAATAGATTGGCCAATCTTTAAATATTTGCAAAATCATTCTCCATTTTTATGGGAAATTTCAAAATATTTGTACTGACTGAATAGCTAGCAGAGCAGACCATTATCAGACCATGGGTAAATTTTAAAGGCATTAGCAGGCTACGAGTTGACAGTTGAAACAATGGCAATCCTTGACTTTTCTATATTCCTGAAGGGGAATTATACAGAGAAAATCAATGCTAGAGTCACTGCTCTTGGTCAATAACCTTCATTAATGTCTCACATGACATAACTGTGTGATGGCTCAAGTTATACCACCAGTAGATTGTACATAGAAAATGCAAAACCTAACTATGAGATTTTTAGTAACTAAAGGTGAATAATTCTGTTAAAATCTTAAGCAAGAGTTATGGATCTTGGTCATGGAATACATTAAAGATGTTTAACACATAAATTTGAAGTTTTAAGCCTGTAATTTCAGCAGTTTTGAGTCTACATTAAAGATGTTTAACACATAAATTTGAAGTTTTAAGCCTGTAATTTCAGCAGTTTTGAGTCTTAAAGATGCACAAAAAACCTTTACCAAATATTACACATGTCAAAGAAAGTAAGACAGCTCTAACTAACATACAACATATTACTGCTTTTTATATATAAAAAAATTCTGCCAGCCTATCTACATTCTACTTTCCTATTCCATTGTTGAATAAAGTATATAGCAAAAACATTTTAACTATTCTATAATCTGTGTCAGTAGACTCTTGCTTTTTCATCTCCTCTGATATTATCCTGCAGCCATGAATTACTCCCTGCAGCCATGAATCACTCCCTGCAGCCATGAATCACTCACTCATCAGCCTAATAGTTTAGTAAATGATCACTTCAGCATATTTTAGCACATTCACACTCGAGCACAACTATTTTTACACTTACACTGCACCAAAAGATCCAAGATATTCCAAAAGTATGAGATTTTTTTGTAATCAATTGGAATGCCTCTGCATTTACCCCATATAACTGTCCGAGATATTGCGTAATTAATGTACTAGCTTATCACACAACTCTTTCTGCAGTGGGCTGGGGGTGAATCAGTTGGATTGAGAAACTTTGTCTTTTTGTGTTTATCTTTCGTGTCTCTATGGATGAAGCTAAGCATCCTGGCACGCGTTTTATTTGTGAGAGCGTAAGACTTGAGATGATTTTTAAGAGGTTGGGGTAATGGCAATTGTTCAATACCATATATTGTGGTACTTGATACAATGGTGCGGCAAGCTAGTTCCTGGAGACTGAGCGCTGAAATATATTACAATCTTTCTATATATGTAAATTCGTAATATAACTAATATTATCACTATCTCATTTTAGCTCAGTTACTTAAAAGAAAGGTTTCCATAATGTCCTATTGAATACAAATTCAACATGCTCCCTTTCATTCTAAAGAAATGTTTTGAACATTTTGTACATTAATGGCAGTGACTGATTTCCTAAGCAATCTTGTCCAAGTTGAAATAAAAATCATGCAATGCGTTATAATTGTGTTAAAAATAGGTTTGAATCATAATTATATTTAGTGCCGATGTTATCATAGGAAGTCTTTAAGATTTTATTAAAAATGTAACGAAAAACAGTCTGAAATTAAAGCGAGTTTCAGCTTTTCTAAAGGTTAAAAATGTTATTTTAGATAAATTGTTTCATATAACTGTCAAATCAAAGAATTAAGGTGGAAAATGAAAATTGCCGTGGATAAAATATATAAACAATAAGGAAACCTCTTGATACCTCTAACCTACCAGTCCACTCTCTATATGTAAATTAGTAAAGCAGATGAATTGTTTCCAGATCTTCTAATTTTAGAAACAAACATCACTAGTGCGCTTTAAATAGCTCTCAGAAGCCATTTTGAAGAAGGCTGAACAGAGATGATTTATTTCTCCAAGAAATAATATAGTTTGAAACAACATAGAATTGTTTTTCCAACAAAAAATTAAAGATGAAGGCCGCTTTAAAAGAATCTCATTAAAGAATAATCACTTGAATAATGGAATAAAAGATCTGCTATACCTTTATGACCGCCCCATGATCTAGTCATGCCATTCCTCTTTATGGCAACTCGTGATAATTCAGCAAATGATTCTGTCACATTGAAATCACACAATGGGCTTACTTCAAAGAAAGCCATTTCATTTTTGACAGCGTATGCTTCCGCCTCGCCTTCACTCACCTGACGTTTGTACGCAAGGTGAAGACGATTTCCTACCAAGATTTTAGGGACCCCTGGGGCATGCTGGGAAAAAAAGATACAAATATATTACAGTACAAATGTATACAGTAGATACTGGATGGGTGTTCATTGAATACTAAATTTATTGAAGGAGTTGAATAAAATCGTATTATGCGAGCTGCTGCCAATAGATTGAATCTACACAAATATAATATTTTATTTATCAAATACATGTATCTAAAATAAGAACAGTTTACAGCTGAAATAGTAAATTTTTATTGCCGCGTTTTTTTGTGTAACGCTACCATCAGCGCACTGTAACTGTTCTATTTGTTTATTCAGCAAATGACGTCACACCAAAGTGAAATTACGCTAGGCATATATCGTTTTTATTAACTGGGTTTATTACACTCATGTGCCATGTTTTATGTGATAAGATATATTATTAATAGTAAATATAAGGATATTATTGAGTAAATCTAACCTAGTCACATTCTCAGTTTTATTTTTTATGGTAAAAATATGATACCTTTGTACCATAATTTTAAGATACTCTTGTATTGATTTACCTTTACTTTCAGCTTACATGAAGACCCAAGGAAGAGAATATTAGTTTCCTGTAATACATTACTAAAATATTAATATAACACTGGCATCAAAAGGAACAAACATTTAATTATTTTGCATGTACCTCATCAATTTCTTTGATCCAACGGTCAATTCCATCAAATGACCACTTGTTTGTGATATCATAGACTAGTAATATACCCTGAAATATATATAAAACATAGGGATTAGTAAATAGCAAACAATCTATTACATTGATACACAAGAACAAGGAAGCATCTAATACATCAAATTCTAGGTTCAATAAGGTTATTTTCCAGTCATTGTGTAATGTTTTATAGGCAAGTAACTATTTTTCATTACAAATCAAATTGTTAAACAGCTAATAACTAAAAATAGCTCACATCTTACAATTTTACCAATGGAAATTAAGACTTGCAATATAGGGAAATCAAAGGCTTTAGATATACCTTTTTATTATAAATTTTCTCCCTAAAATACATGCAAATCTTGAAGCGCAAATACGCTTCAACCGATAGAAATTTCCATATTATGTGAGTGACAAATACAGTACCATATATGGAAGTGTCAGACTATTTTTGACGTTGGTTAAGATCTTAGCTAACGTTGCATTTGGAAATGGGAACCAAAACTATTAAAGACATGGCTGGTTTTACAAGAATTACGTATTCATACATTAGTCATGAATTTATTTCTTGACGACTACATTTCATTTTCTGAATAAAATGAAAAGGTATATAATAAAAGGAAAATTATGTTGTGGTTATGTATTTTTCTACTCGCAACGTTGGAAAACTGATATCTCGCTCGACCTTTGGTCAATGGTCTCTCGAGATATCAATTTTCCGCCACTGCTCGTAGAAAAATACATAGCCTCAGAAAAGTACTACAACATAATATTCCTAATATATTATATAATTATTTATAAATGAAATATTGATGAAATTAAATGCATATTTTCGTTTATTAATATTTTAACCTTCGGTTCAGGTCAACTAAAAAGGTATACAATAAACCGAAAGTGTAAGTTTTTTTTTATAAACACGGGTGTGGTATAAAAATTATCATATTTCTTTTGTGACTACTGCCATTTGTGAAACATTTCTTTTATACCACTTGATGAAATAAATCCCATATTTAAAGAGAAAAAAAAACTTGAATATACTCTATTTCCTTAAGATATCAAGCGGTTAGTGGCATGAATAATCTATGATACCGGATACAATATAAAGGAAATTGATAGCTATAGGTGTAACTAAAATAAAATTAATTTCTGAAAGATTATGAATGCATACTCTGATAAGTCAATACGAAAATTGAAAACTGATCAAATAACAAGTTTGTGATTTATAACACTGACAGGGCATCTCCCAAATATGTGTAAACATATTTCATGAATTAGGCCAAGTATATCCTTCACAATTCTATATGACTCTGCTGAATATAACACATCTACAGCCTGCTGTCAGAAAGCCTTAACATTTTATAAAATAGTTACCTGTGCACCCCTGGAGTATGAACGAAATATTGTACAAAACCTCCCTTGACCAGATGTATCCCTATAAATAAATATCACAAATATAAGGCATTGATATAAACTAATTATACATTTGTACATAACTTGAAAATGGTAAAAAGCTTGAAAACCATATAAATGTTTGAATTACATACAACAGTTTTAAAGCAACCTGCCTCAAGATAAATGAAATAAATAACAATAAGTGTGGTTAAGACAGCTTGCTTGCCTTTTCCAGTGTTTCAAAGAGCTGGAATAATGTACAAATTTCCAAGTTCAAAAAGGGCCATAATTCTGTCAAAATCCATGTTAAGACTCAGAGTTATGGGCCTTGGATAGTGACATTGAATTATCTTCTAGAGTTGAGTTAGAAACATCAAAGGAAAAGTATATACATGTGTATATACATGTTGCTTGTTAAATGTAAATATTCATAATCAAAATGTAAAACTTTGAATAATATTAAAATGCAAATATGGAAGAATTCATTATTTTCTATTTTTATCACCAAAATTCTACCTAGTAACTAACAGAAGAGAAATGTCTGCATTATACTCAGACAAATTATGGTCATTTCTACAGATAAGTCAGAGCCTTAAAGGCTTGGTTTAACCACTTTTTTTGTACACAATATTAGGTAAATAATTTTTTAAAACTCTGGAGGACTGGCAAGCTGCTTTAACTTTTCAAATGGAGAATACATGTATCTAATAAATAAAATTATTTTTTGTTTGGTTTTATAATGCACCAACACAATGGCGCCGAAACGGGAAAGATGAATTTGGCTAACCTACATGTAGGGTGTTCGAAACTTAAAATACCAATAGGGGTCAAAACCACCTCACCAGATACATATAGTTATTCAAACCCATTTATTATACAAAATTTTTTAATGTACTATATTTTTACATAGTTTAAGCACGATATTTTACTGAACTTGGATATCTAAAAGCCTACAGTCAGTACTTATTAAAAAGTTTATTCATAACAATCAACAATCATAATGATGCATGTACATGTACTACTTATTGAAAAGTTTATTCATAACAATCAACAATATTAATGATGCAACTTGTACATGTACTATTAAAAAGTTTTACTATTATAAATTCATAAACACTAATAATAATGATCAAGTGTACATCATTAACATGTATGTCAAGATCGTGATGAATCAATATGAAATTAAAGAACTTACCAAAGCATTAGCTTCACTCTGCGACCATCAAGAAGAATTGTGGTGGTCTTGTATTCAATACCTGAAATACAACTAAAGCTTAAAGCTGCATTTTATAAATTTCATTAAAACAGACATAGATACATTTCGTTACTAAAATGGGTTTTATATTGACCCCTGTTTGCATGAGAGACCCCGCCTTTGGATCATCTGAACATTACCAGAAAATCAACAAAACATTGCTTTAAGTGGCAGTCCAAATTCAATGATATATTTCAGCATCATATAGCACATGATTTCAAATAAAATTTTGTCTTCTTTTATTAGATGATTGACAACTTTTTTTGTGAAAGACGGGCCAAGTTTATGGTGAAGCTATAATGGTAAGTTTGCTTGCACAAGGCTGAGTGTTCCAACATGATCTTAATTTTGATATTTTCATACATATAGAAACTGTTATTCAAGCCTTTATGACCCTGTATAATTAACAATTATATTGAAATATTTTACATATATATGTAAAGCTATGATATTAAAAAATATTATAATTCTGGTATAAATCTTCATGACATTTGTTTAATTTTACTTTTGTTTGCCTACAATATGGTAATTTTGAACACTCATACTTTATATGGTAAATAATTATATCAAATTCAATCTTATTGGAAGTATTTTTGTTAACTTAATAACTAAAATCTTTTAATTATAGATTATTTTGGCAGATATATTATATATTCATTATTTTTTTATATTCCTTTTTGTCAGGTTCTCCCTTTTTCTGTAGGGGAAAATTATGTGATCTTCACTTTTCAGCAGTTGTAAGCAGTTATCTTTCTTCTTAACATTAGTATAATACAACAAATATGATGCTTTTTGTTTGTAAAGTAATCTCAATAAAATATGAAATAAAAATGTGTTAACTTATTACCATAAGCTTAAAATTAGTTGTAGGTGGTCATTAATCAAATTTGATTGATTGCGTCAATCATGATTATCACCTGATTAATCAGTAGCCTTAACATACACATGGTAATTGATTGGTGATAAAAGCAGTCCTTTAATGTCCTTTCCCAATTATTAATAATTCCATATATTAGTTATGCTGTTCCAACAATAAACTTTAAAAGTGTGATGAAACAAACCAATTATATTAATAAAATGAAAAGTGGGCCAAGTTGACCTGTGCCGAGTTGGAACAGGGCCGAGCTGACTCTGGGTCCCCGAGTATGTTTTAGGGCCGAGTTGACCCATTGTGCGAGTTCTTTAGATGTTTAGAATTTGGCATAACTGCAGGGCTGAAAATTAGCGGTCGCCCAGTCGCCCACGGCGACTTAATTTGCAATTGGGCCACCAAAAATTTCAAAATAGTCGTCCAGTCGGCGACTAAAAAAATCGGCCGTAGATTAAATTAATATCTGCCATTAAATCAACTCGTGTGAAAAATCAAAGGAGCAAATGAGCAAATTGGCTCCAAAATTATTGAATTGGCTCAAGAAAATCACGATTAGCTCAAACTTCCACTTTTGTAATCTCCAGGCTTAATTTAGAATTTGCTATTTTAAGAATGGAAAAGTACACATTTGGTTTTCCATTTTCAATTTCCGCTTTACCGCTTCTTATCTCAAAACACAGTCTACTTCTTGTGGGTCATTGACTGGTTTATATTTTTACCTCCCCTTCTGTATTAAATATTGATATGAAAAGTAACACAGTCTAATACACTGACCCTCACTGTTTGTTTACATCAGCTGATAAATGACACTAATTGTCGTGAACATACCTGGCAGTTTGTTGAATATGCATTGGAAATTGGGTCTTAATATTTAACATGAAACAATAAGTAGCGGCATCCCAAGATTACTCAAGATTATCGCTAATCAAATCTGAAGTTTGGGTATGAAATAGCGACAAATTATGTTCTGCAGTTGACAACTTGACCTGTTGACGGTAAGTTTGCATTCAGTAAATTTTATCGTTGTTGATAAACAGATCAAAAGAAAATATTGGTTAAGAGTAATGGTTGTTTTTTTATGTTTTTTTTTTTCCTTTTTTTTTTCTTCGGGGGAGGGGGTTAATTGCCATTTTATTCTAACCTAATTATGCCTTTACAAGAAATTTATTTGACATTTGGATTTAAAGAAAATTCCTTGGAAAGAAAGATTGACCTTGATTTGACTTAAAATCAAATTTAAGTTTTGTAACCCCTAAAGCTCTTGCAGAAGTATTCACTTATAAATGGCTTATGACTGTGAAATATTAAAGAAAGATTCAGTTAAGTAACATACAAACAGAAAATGCCTTCAGATAACTTATACTGATTCATGTACTCTTAAAATGACAGTAGTACATGTGATTTTATTCCTTAATTATCTTTAGTTTAGAATTTTCAATATTATTTTCTTCACTCTTCTTACTTTCAAACTTGTTTCTTCTGTATTATTTCAGATACAAATAGTCTTCAAGCCAAATCTTTGTCATTAACCAAGCAAGCTGAAGCAGCACATTGGAATGTGTTTCTGCTGTTACTGTCATGCCACTGACTTAACCAGGCAAATGTCATAGCTACTGAGCTGGAAGCTTTTATAATTATTGACTGTAAATTTTATAAGTTTGATGTGTTAATGTGATAAAAAAATGTAGGTACCACAATAAAAGTGGACAATATAGTTTATGTTTTCTAAATACCTCATGCCGTACCATTCTTCCTTATTTGAAAATAAAATACAGGCACGCAATTTTCGTTGCAAAAAAATTGGCTAAATAAAATTTTTGCCAGTGCTAGTCCCTTTCTGTTCATAATTTGTTGGTCCACTAATATATTTACTGGGCCACCAAAATTTTACAGTCAGTGGCCCAGGTGGCCACCAAGCTTAAATGGTTAGTTTTTATCCCTGTAACTGTATATAATCATGAAAAATTCCAATACTTTTTAAATGGTGAACAGTGCGCAAATTAGTTAAAAAAATAAATACCACAGCTTGATGCAGCAGCACTGTATGGTGATTCTGAAGAGCCATTATCCATTCCACCCAATAACTCTTCCTTGCCAACATCGCTATCCCCCACAAGAAGGAACTTCAGTAAACAGTCATATGGTTTATGTGAGCCAGGACCAGGGGATCTGGGCTCTGTATTTAAAGACATGTGTACCCAGAATGAAAACTGTTCACTACTACTGATGAACTGTGTGTGTTATGGATCAAAATTCATGATCACAAATTATCATTTATCACAAGCTTTTTCAACCTAATTACGTCATTTTTGCTATTTACTATTTAGATCATACTTATAAATATCAAAATAAGAAAATCGCAATCAATGATATATTTAAGATGTGCTTTAAATGCATTAAATAAAGCGAAAATTTTGTTCAGTTCTCGCTGTCAAAACATCCTGATATCACTGTCATGCGCATGCGTGTATGATCAAACTTCCGGAATTTCCAATGTTCGACGGAAAAGACCGAAATGTTACGAATGTTCATTTGGATTTGTTTTAACTTTAACCATTCCACTGATAAGCCCGAGACATGGATAATGGACAGGCGAATTTGCCGGACTTTTTAAAGGGAACAGACGCACTTTCAATAATATTTTAAACTTAAATGTGCTAAACTACCAACTTAGACAATGTCAATTGAAGGACAATCAGAAATAGATGTATGTATGTTTCACTGTTAATAATTTGTTAAAAGAAACTTTATTTTACTTCCCCCCCCCCCCTTTTTTTGAGGGCCAAATATTGAAATATGCCCTATTTAGACCCAAAACCCTTGTTTTCGTTTTGTTATAAAAGTGATTATTCACTCTTTCGGTGCCATCCCCTATCAACGGGGTGCCAGAGGGGGATGTGCCCCCTTCTGCATAGGGGTTATAAGGGGCCAGCTTCCACCCTCATCGCCAAGAAGATTTTGGACTTGTGAGAGGTTAACATTGACCTTAGGTCAATCAGAAGGTACATGTATTAAGCCTTTGACTCTAACACAGATACATATATATGATACAACAGATAGGAAGCTTTGAATAGAGACGATAGTCAGATTCAGACAGACAATCCTTTGTGCGCTTTGGTGATGATCGGGTTTTTCTGCTAGTCTCCGATTTTTGTGCTCTCTTCAACTTCGGCGATATCTATGAATTCTTGTTGGTGGTTTTTGGCTACTTTTACCCAGGATACATCAAATTTCTGAAAATGCTGCAACATATGATATCTTGCATGAACACAATTCCGCTGATACTGAATTTAACTGTGTGACATCAGTTTCTTCTCTATATTTAGCTCCTAGGCATGACTCAATCCATTGAGAAGTTGCAGTACTTTGAAATCAGTTTGGATGAAAAAAATCAATGCAACATAATAATTTTTGGCAATTTTGAGATGTCCCCTCGTTGCCATAGTAACAGGAAATTTAAGATTGAGTATGCTGTTACAAAGGCTATGGTCCAGTCAACATTTGTGCCAAGTTTGATGAATATTGAAACATCCTTTATAGTTTCATAGCAATTTGAACTTGTAACAGGAAGCTTTTCAATGAAAATAGCTATTTTCACAAAATGCTCAGGCAGTAATGACTTAATTTTTATAAATTATTATTCGACCAACTTACGATTCGTCCCAGGCTGACTGTCACTGACACTTGGTTGTCAGACCCAATTCTACTCATCTCGCTCATCTGTCAGGGGAAAAAAAGATGCGTAAATTCCATTTTCAACAGGTACAGGATATGTTTTCCCCCCAGAGAGAGAGAGAGAGAGAGAGAGAGAGAGAGACCGACAGAGAGTGAGACAGAGACTCACTACAAGTCATACATTAGTCAGTTGATAAATACATAATTTCAACTGTCCTTGGGTTGGTTTGAAATGAATGGTTAACAATTTGCGCACTTTAGGAACGTTTTCAATAATTATATACAAAAACAAAAATTATGTAGATTATAAAGAACCAAAATTTGGACCTTTAGAAAATAATTTTGAGAGCTATCTGTTTTACTGTTTGAACTTTCAAACAAGTGATGCTTTTATAAATATCAAAAGGAAGAACAGATTTGTAATACAGGCTGGCATTTGATTGAAAATTTTGTATTGATTTATCAAGAGACAAATATCAATGATATATCGACTTTGACAGTAGATACAATGAAAAACATTTAAAAAAGTGTTATAAATTGGGATCATGGTGTTATGCATGCTTGTATTAGACATTACAAACACTACAAACTAACAGAAAGTTTGATTTTCTGTTATTTTGTCACTTACATTTGAAACAGAGTTTAAAGTTCAAGTTGGCCAAGAAAAACGGAAAAAAATGACTTCTCTTATTAGGCAAAATAGAGAGGTATATTCACTAACAGAAGTAAATAAATTTTAGCTTGTATCAATAAATAAATCATTATGATAAAGTGCATTTGTGCAGGAAATATGGCACTGTCAACTTTTTCATAATTTTTCATTTCAGATCTTAGAAAATAGACTTCATGATTTAGAAAAACAGTATGTTCAGAAGATTAGAAAACTTAAGGTATTTATGGTATTTTTATTCTTTATTTAACAATTTTCATATAGTTTTGAAGTCATTGTTTTAAATAAGTACTTCTACTCTAATTTTACATATATATTTTCAATGTGAAAAATCAGTATTACATACATATAAAATTATATGAAGTTTATTTTAACATTAGAAGAAGTAAGAAGTAAGTGACTTCCATAACAGATAATCTTTATATGCATTATAGTGAGATGATACTGTGATGCTAGAGCAATCTTTTACAGTCATTTATTTTGGGAGTTATATGTACTTATTCTCTGTGTCATCCAAAAACAGCCTAAGATAATACTTAAATATTTTCTGAAAGCTTGACTGAGTTTTTAGTGAAAGAATGCAATTACAATTTGCAAGCTTTGCACCCCAAGTGTCTGTGGATTTATATTCATTTTCTGCAGGTTTTACTGAAATAATTATACTGAAAGTAGTTTACAACAATGTATTGTGCTGTATTGTATGGGCGTTTTGTTGTACTTTGAACCATACCATGTGGAAACTGTTACGATATACCGTCCTACGTTATACTGTTACACCCTTATTGTTCTATACTTTCAGAAGCAAAATCGGGCAGCGGCAGCCCGTGCCTATGTTCAGCAAAGACTTAAAGAAGAGGCTGAACAGACTGATACACATGTGAAAGTACAGGTTTCTAGCTGTCAGAAACAAACATCTAAGTCATCTAGAGCACTGGAACATAATCACTCAAAATCTAGGCGAAAGTCTACTAGCAGTTTGAAATGTGATGATGCAGAGGCTTGGCATCATAAAGCCAGTCTGCTTGAGCCTGAAGCTTCAAAGTCAAGGCAAGAATCATTCAGTGTTTCAGAAAATGAAAATGTGCCATTACAGCACAAGACTTGCAATATTCCAGAGAAAGTAGTCAGGCAAAGTGAATTCGGGAGACTGGAGCAATTACCAGAAGTAGAGAATAATGAAATGACTAAGCAAAGACATCTACAAAAAGATCCGAAATATGAAAGAATGGGAGAAGGTATACTTTTTTATATAAATCAAATTACTTTTAGTTCCTTTTAGTGTTGTCCCGATTGTCTCTGAAAATCGATAACTAATCGGACCACCCCAAAATCGGCGACAATCGATAGTCCTTTTTAAAAATCGATTAAGTTGTATAATACAAAAATTGCCTGTCACAAAGTTGTATTAGGTGTTTGTGTTGTTTGTTTTGGATTCAAAGAGTAAATCTTACTTAATCTTGGAGACAAGAGTTTATATATACTTATTCTCAAAATGTGGTCACTTCTGTATAAAAAAATACATACAAGGATTGGTACCTTAAAAAAATGGCCATAAAAAATGCAAAACTCGATTGCAAAACTCGATTATACTATCGGCAGACAATCGATTGTGTTGGTCCGATTATCGATAGTGATTTTTTAGTCCGATACCCAACACTAGTTCCTTTTAGTTTTTAGCAATAAATAACAATTCTTAAAAAATTGGAATGGATATATGAAACAACTTGTTTAGTTCTTACTAATCTACATGTACAATCATGTAGTCTTTGACACAAGCATTGAAATATTTTCAAGGATAGTCTTAAAAACTTGTCAAATTGAAATCTTTGTTGAAATATATTTTTCACACAAAATTTGACAAACTTGTTCAGCAACATGAATGGTAAGATTTAAACCCTCACTGCACAATTTTTAAAAAAAAAATGGATTTGTCCAACTTTCTATACAGACTTAACCATTTATCCTTCTAAAGGAAAATATCAAGATAATTACTGACTGAATTGCAAATAGTGCAGACCATGATCAGACATCATGGATAGAATATGCTGCTTACAGCAGACTAAAGGTAAAAAGACCATTGGTTACAATCTGCATCCAATTTCTTACCAATAATGTTCTGTATTTCAGAAGAGAGTGAGATTAACAACATTGTGAACGTAAAAAGTAATGATCTAACAATTCAAACAAAGTATGTGCCAAGTATCAAAACTGGAGATATTTCATCTGTAGGGGTTCAAAAAAATAACTCCAAAATACCATTAAAAGCAGAAATAAATAGTGGAAATAATAAAAATGACAATGATAAACAAGTATATGTAGCAGATGGAAGCAGTGAAGATATGTTCCTAACCTCTCCAACTACAACAGTAGATAGTTATACATCTGAAGGAATAGATGCTGACCATGATCAGGTGATCATAGTACCTAGTCATGAAGAATTGGTTAGAAATAAAGAAAATCTCAGACATAAAAATCAAGTGTCAAAATTAAAACTGTCAAAGTACAAAAAGAAGAATTTTGTTAATCGTATTATGAAAGAAGATACAATTGTTGAAGAAAAGAAATTTATGAGACCTATCAAAGAAACAGAGAGACAAGCTTCTGATGTTGTTAGAAATGAATTACAGAATACTTGTAATTCTGATTTAACAGATACTGAAAAAGAGTTAGAAATAGATGAAGTATCTTCACATCAAGTAAACCACAGTGGTGACAGTTCTACACAAGGTACAGTTTTTAGTGAAGGACAAGTGATTGTGTTTGAAAGGCAGCTTAGAGTTACAAACCAAGACAATGAATTGTCTAAAATGTCCAAGAAATGTTTAGATGTTGAAATAAGTAAACCTGTTCGTAACAAGTGTTCAGAGATTTTTGTTACGCAAGGTTCATTAGATTCTTCAGTATCAACAGTATGTGATTATGAATTAGGAATAGTGAATGAAGGAAATACTAAAATTCGGAGACGGTCAGGATCGAGGAAAAGGCGATCTTCTGGTCTTGAAACACAACGAAGATCATCAAGGTTATCTGGGCAATCTAGTCAAGATTCATTGTCCCAGTCAATTGAAACTGAAGGTATTTCACCAATATTTCTAGCAGCTGGAGAATCTGCAGCTAAAAAGAGAGTGATAATATCTTCAGTGTTTCAGTGTCTTATAGACGAGGGAAGACGGAAAAGTGACATTGAAGAATTTAAAATTCCCAATGATGTTCTTGTATCAGAACTTAAAACAAGAACAGTTCCTGATCATGACCTGACTGTAAGTAAAGAGCAATGTTCAAAATTAGGGATCAATGAAGAAAAAATGGTGAATGTCGATCAAAAAGATTCTAAACTAGAATTGTCAAATGAAAAAGAAAACATTCAGCCATTAGTCTCAAATTTACCAACAACTGACACTTGTGATGTTAACATCTCAGAAAAAGATGATGTAATGTCTCCAACTTTATTTGAATCACAGCCCAATGTTAGTAACATCTTTACATTTAGTAAAGAACCAACTATTGATGTCAGTGATACCAAAGCAGTGGATATGGAAAAAGATTTAATAAATAATGAACAAGTGATCAAGGCAATGGAAAAGGTAAATAAGGGAAATGAACAGGTAATGAAGGATGATGAGCAATTTAACAATAACAATGAATTAAAGAAAAAGGAAAATGAGCTAGGCGATAAGGAAAAGGTACCATGTAATATTAATAAGGAAAAAGAACTACATAGTGAGGAAAATGAACTTTGTAGTAAGGAAAATGAACTATGTAATAAGGAAACTGAAATGAAGGACAAGGATGATGAATTAAGCCTGGCAGAAGACAAGGTTCAACATTTGTCACTTGATCAACAACATGATGATCATGTTAGTTATATGGACAAGATTGATGAAAGTAAGAATGAAAGGTCATCTAATTTACAACTTCAACAGATTGGTGATTTTCAGGTAATTAAGTAAAATTTTATATTTAAGAAGCATTTTCAAAGACAGTCTATGTTGATTCAAGCATTTGAATTTTGATATTTATTGTACAGTAAGTTGAGAGATGTAACTTTGAAAAGAATCTATAGATATAATTCAAGCTTTCTTCAATGTTTTTGGTGCACAGATTTTAATCTCTACTTACTAAATAAGGAAGTTAACAATACATGTCACTGCTAGGAATAGTAAAATATATTTTCATTGTTGTAAACACTTTAAACAATTTCTCAGATTCCCATTATATAGCATATAAGTGCATAACGTAACACTTTGAAAGTGTACTCTTTATACTTTATAATGTGATGATTCTAACAATGTGCATATGATATTGTAATATACAGTATTGTAACATGTCTTTTCAAGTTTTCATGCATTATTCTTATTATTTATAGGTCCAAAAAGGTGAAAATGTTCATTCTGTAATGTGTGTAGAGATAACTTGTGATGATCAGGTCCAGCCATATGTTGTGTGTTTATGTTCTTCATGTCTCAAACTTTACACAATATGCAACAATCAATGGACATGTGTAGCCAATACAAAACTGGGATTTGTGGTAAGAAAATAAAACATTTCAATTTACCTGCTTGAATTTTGAAGGTCTACTATAAAACATGAATTCTGTCACCCTTCACATTGATAATTATATTTAGATCATCTGTTTCGAAGAAAAAATCAAGCTATTATGATCTCTGCAGTGTCATTGTTGTCGTTTTGCAAAAACTTTAATGCAGCCTATTATTCAAACAAAAAGGTATCATATACTTGCTTATCCAGACAAGATGCAGTTGTAAGATAAGGCTTATAAATCTGAAAGCAATATTTTTAAAGTTATGCCCTTTTTATCCTAGAATTTTTGAAAGACTGGCATTAATACTGCATGTGGTGCTCTTATGTATATTCAGCATGGATTCTTTGACTGTTACATCTGTTAATGAAAAAAAAAATATTGAAGAAAGAATAATAATTACAATTTTGCCATGATATCTAAGCATTTATTTATTAAATGGTATAAGGTGTAACCGTGTTAGATTATATTATTCCTATTTTCAGACAAAGAAGAAGTCTGGTAATTTGATGTATTTACTACCAGATTCAGACAGTGTATCACTGGTATTGCTGGGTATAAAATCAGATTGTACATGTATATATCATTATACATTCATCAAAGAGAAATGGCAGCAGACGACATTAGATCAAGTGTATTCTAAAAGGTAAAATATTATTGTTATACACTGTAATAGAGTCTAATGATAATTTGAGCTGCGTCACGACAAAACCAACATAATGGGTTTGCGACCAGGGCCTGTGCATCCGGGCAGTCTGATCAGGATCCATGCTGCTCGCTTACAGACCCTATAACAAGTAAAGAAACTGATAGCGAACAGCATGGATCTTGATCAGACTGTGCGGATGCACATGCTGGTCTGGATCCATGCTGGTCACAAACCCATTATGTTGGTTTTGTCATGATGCAGCTCATTTGTCTCTCACTGCTGATTCAGAAATCATGTGGGCTTAGTAGTTGGTCATTTGTGAAGAAAATGGTCATTTCTGGTTAGTTATCCAGGAAAGCTGGTGTGGTGGATTGTCTGAATAGATATGACCAAAAGACGTGTTAAAATTGTCATAAAAAAACAGAAAAACAAACAAACACTGCAATGGAATACATGAACATGTATATATTTGTTTTAGTTACAGTACTTCATATGCATGTACTTATGGGCATGTTTTAAGAGCTTTCACAAATTTGTTTATAGCATCTGTTATTTTCACTACAAAAAAAGATTATTTTTTTCACATCAACCATCAGCTTATCAAGAAAATCTGTTCTGTGCATGATTGAATCCAAGTTCTGCTGACATACAGTTTTGTGGATTTGCCTTTTTTCATTTCTTAAATTGTGGCAATACAATGTATTTGAGTCATGATTCTCATGACTTTTCATTGTTAATATCAAACAGCTGTTGCTTCCGATTTCTTTCAAAAATATTGACATTACCTGGCTTTATTTATTGTTTAAGAAAATTCAGTATGATTTGTGTTTGCATATAAAAGGGTACATGAATATCTTTTCTGTTTTCCCAGTATTCAAGTTTGTCCACTGTCTAGCCGTCTCATTGTGGTCAGTTACTATACAGATGAGAGATCATATCTGTGCAAATACACTCAGGACATCAATAGTGACCAGTGGTCAAATGTCCAGTTAGATAGTACTGAGAAACAAATAACACACCTGATACCTGTGAGAGGTATCCCTGAAGCTGTTCTCACTTTGACAAAATCTATGGAAATACAAATATGGTATGTATTATAACTTTTAAGTTATTTAACAGTGTTCTGTGTATATTATACTTGGAGGAGCACTCAATTTGAAAACCATACTGTGTGAGCCACTAGGCCTGTCAACCGTGAATTTTTACAAGTTTAAATATATATCTGTATTGTAATGACTGTTAAATGAACTTAAATCACCTTTTTATTATATACTCAATTTATCATACTGTTGTTGACATATTAAGTTCTTTCTCACAAATATAATTTGATCTATTTATTATGTTTTTCAAGTAATTCTCTGAGAAAAAAAAAAGAACAGAAACATGTAACATACTGTCTAGTAATTGTATAAACTTGGATGTTTCAGGAATCATGAGCATGGTTATCTGCTAACATCTGTGGATATATCTGATGTTTGTCCAGCAGATCCTATCTGCTCAATCAGTTTTGCTGAACAGGTGAGTGATGCTATATATTAAATATTTCATTTATAGATTATAGTCATATTGTAAGACTGACAGAAATTGCAAATCATGTATGCTTATTTGACATTTAAAGTCATTTCTAAAACTGTTTACAATTTGTTAAATGCTGAATCCCTTAAATACATACCTGGTCATTCCCTAGCATTAAAGATGGAATAGTTCCATAAACCTAACAGAGCAACAGAAGAAAAAAAATTACATGTGTTTAAAAAAGATTGGGTTTTAGCTTGGCTAGTAGAGTCATTGTACTCATGTCAGCATCACACTCTGGTAAAGATTTTGTGTGCAAGTTGTTATCTCCAAAACTGCTGAAGGGAATGGGTTGAAACTTTACATACTTTGTCAGAGTATTATAGAAGGTCAATTTTCAAGGCCCATAACTTTAACAAAGAATTTGACTGAATTTTGGCCCTTTTTGAACTTTAACCATTATCCAGACTCTTGTTTTACTATCAAGCACAATGAAAAATGTCTACCAAACTGTTATACTGAAAGCTCTTGATTTTTGCTACATATGCATTCTACAGATAGTAGTGATCAGGCACTTTCATTCTTATGTTTTTTATATAATGGTTAAGAGTGATGGTAAATGTAATGTATGTATTTCATAAAATTGACAGGGTTTTCTGTTTGTGCCTCTCTTGAGTAAGAAGAAAGGTGGCGAGGCCGGGACAATAGTTGTGATAAATCCAAGTATGAATACTTCAGAGACCTTATCATCAATTACTGTGAATGATAGTTGGACTGGGTAAAGTTTCCTTATATATTTAATAAATACACAGTACAAATGAACAAGTTGCTTCAACAAATAAACATTGATAAATTAAAGCATATTATCTCTGTATGTATGATGCACAATAATTTTCTGTCTAGTGCTGTGGCATTATTTCGTCTTTATCAATGAAGTTGCAAATTCATACGCTACTTTTAAGAAAAAATTCTAAATGAAAACATTTGGTATTAGTGATTTCTTTACAGTATGATTTCTATGCAATTTACAAGAAAAAGGATCATACACTAGCTCTCGATAAGCCGGAAATATCTGACTCTCAGGGTAACTGTTTTGCAGCGACTCAACAAAGCCTCACTTTGGGTTTAAACACTTACCAATGAGTCTGATATTCTGGTCTGTACTAGCAACCAGTGTGAAACCTTAAACAAAAGTAATATCCATTAATTTTAGCATATCCAATTTTTTTTACCAGTTTTGTATCAGTTTTCTATATGTTCACTTTACCAATTACTGTTAATAATTGTGTACATAATTATCATTATATTTATTTTGTCTTTCAGATGTAGTGGTACCTGTATTATGTCAGCTGGTTTACTGCTGTGCAGACAAAATAATGGCTGTATCCGAATATGGAATGTTTACACTGGTGGTCTCCTAGCAACAGTTGATGATGTCACAGTCACATGCCTTTCAGCAACCAATCAGCTTTTAGTAGCAGCTCATAAAACTTGTGTTCATATATATAAACTGGATTTACCAAGTCTTTCATAATACTATTTGAATGATTTAATCTTGGTTGTTTTGGGGTTTTTGTTGTTGTTGGGGGGGGGGGGTGTTACTTTATCGGTGCTGTATAATTACTATAAGTTTTACTGCATGTTTGAAGCATATTTGTGATACCTTGTTTAAATATCAAAATGAAAAATAAATGTTCCTCAATTTGCATGTTGTTTCAGTTGAGACCGATTATCTCAATTCATTTTTGCCAGTTCTTTGTTTGACCAAAGATAAGTCGAAATTGTAACCAAATTTACCAAACAAGTGTAATGTATGTGTCTTCAATGCCAAGTCTATATGAGGTCTTCCTATTACATGTACATATATTGTAGATGTAAATGTATATTGATTATAAATCTTCAGGTTAATTTGAAACCAGACTATTCACTAAATGTGTTTGATAAGTTGACTGGTGCTCTATATTTCAAGGCAAACTGGAATATAACTATATCTGGCTTAGACCAAAAAAAAAAAAAACATTGCACCATGTTAACCTCTAAACATTGTGGTCCATTTAAGTTGGATACTAATTTCTTTACTTTTTTGTTGGTTTTTAAAGATCCTGTAACACAATTTTTTCATGGTTTTATTTCATAAATATGATGCTCAAATTAAGATTTGTCAATATTGTAAGTTCCAATAAGCATTATTTATAAAGATATTACCCAATTTAACATTTCATGTAAATAAAGGGAGGTAATTAGAAATTCATTTTCAATAAATTCTAAGTCAAATTTTCCAATAAGAATTAAATGCCTGTAATTTATTGATTAAATATAATGTGCAAAAATATTTGCAGTACACATTTTACATATTCTTCGATGTTTGAAAATTGTTTTATTTGCATAAATATGTACATATATAACTTTTTGCTAGTGTGGTATTCACACAGTCTTCTTACTTCCCCTCGGAGCGTGCACGTCGTCGCTACAGGGCATCGCAGAAGAGTTACAACTTGGCTGGTAGTCAACTTAAATTTTTCCTTCGGGGAACACCCTACTTCGTCACTTCTGCGGACCAGCTGCCGATGTCCTGACTAATGCCGAGGGGTGTACTAGGGTGCATGAGCCCCTAGTACAGATAGACGGGTAAGGCAGGCCTAAAGCTGGCACCAACAGCCCTTTTCAGGGCTAAAAACACCTTTCCTATTGTCACAGGTTACTGTACATTTAGGTTCTCATTGACCGCCGTACAGTGACCTACTTTTCTGCTCAAAATTCATATCTTTGGCTAATACTCCGTGGAAATTGCATGGAGGTAAATTATCACCATTTTGTGCTTCAAAATTAACTCTTTAAGGACATGACTGGTGACATGTCCGGGGTCCGTACTCGACAGCGCAAGCTGCATTTTGTGCCCGAAAGGGCGGATGGACCCTCATTAAGCTTTAACTACATACATACATAGGTATTCACACAGTAAAAATATCAATCACAAAACATACAGGATCTTTAAGTTACACTCGCAAAAATTAAGCAAGACATCTGTTACACCTACTCATGTAATTTTGGGCACTAGCAAGCACCCAAACATAATATACAACTTGTAAGCTAGCTGAAGAGCTTCCTTACATGAAATTCTCTAATGATATTCCAACCCACAGTAGTGAGGTGCAAGTGATTCTAATTTGGTAACAAAACTTTAGTTCTACACTAGCTGGTGCTACCTTAAGAAGTTCCTCAGTTTTAAACCAGTATAACCTTATTTTTTCCTAAAGAAAATTTCAGCCTCATTTAAGATCACCTGAATCCCAGTTTGATATGAAACGGCATTTGAAATAATGCGAAACATTTGCAGTACATAAAAACATATTAAACCTAGGACTTTAACTCGCACATCTGCTGCCTAAAAAGAAAGGTCTTGTCCATATCCTGTGAAGGGCTTGACATCGCTTCAGTCTTAACTATCTTGATACACAAGACACAAGAGTTATGCAATTTTGCTGAAGACAAAATGCAGCACAGCAGAAGTCATTGTAAAAAAAAAAACTCAAAAGAGTGTAGGATTTCAAAATTTATTAAACATTTCATTATTATCAATAACATATTGGAACAACACACAACAATATTATTTCAATAAACGGAAAATGTGTATGTCTTTAAAACCGAACAAGGTACAATCAACAATAATAATTTGGTCAATTATGAGATGAAATAAAACATGAAACATACATCAAAATATGTCTGAACCAGTACCCTGTCCTACTTAAACTATATTGTATTATAACATAGCTGGAAAAGCAAAATCTCCAATTATAAAACATTTTTAAAAACTAGAACTCCGTGAGTAGGATGTGTCGCCTTGTGAACAATATAGTTTAGGAGAAATGGCCAGGACAAAAATGAAATATGAAAACTAACAAAGGTCAATAACTCAAAATATAAAAAGTGCAGAGCAACAGTTTCTATGTACTGCACTTCTTATCAAGATCTATCATTCTATGAAGTTTCAAGTCAATATCTTTTATAAGTTATGAGAAATAGCCTGGACAAAAATAAAGTATGAAAATTAATAAAGGGTAATTACTCACAAATAAGAAGTGCAGAGTACCGGTCCTTGTGCACTGCACTTCAGGTTATTAAAGAAGCTTGCATACCAAGTTTGAAGTCAATCAGACTTAAAGTAACTGAGTTATGCTCTGGACAAACTTTAGGGGACACCGCCGACAAAAGTAATCTCTATATGTCACCTTTTCAAGGGGACACAAAAACTGTGATAGTTTTTTACACAAATATGACAAAATTTACAAGTGAAATTGGTAATCATCAATTAAATGAAGCGAATTTAAAAGAAAAACTGAACATCAATGCTTATTAAATAGTCGTATTAAATATATTGTTAAAACTTTATACTTGGCAACAAAACAAAATGTTGTAGAACACCTCAAATCTTTTGAAATTCAAAAAGAATCTATTCAATAGCGATCAAACTAAATAAAGTCTATGATCAAAAATCATAGAGGGGGTGGTGGTATTGGTAGTTTTCACTCCAGATCAGGGCAGTATACCACATTGAATTTACCAGAGCACAGTTCAGCCACCGCATCAACCCAGGGCATGCTGTCAAACAGTTAACCAGTAATGGTTACCTTCACTTTCGCAAGGAACTGATTACTTCTGTACATGCCACAGCAGAGGTGCAGTGTGAATGACCGTAGAAAGGATTTCATGATCAATCCCAACAAAAGTGACCTGCACTGCCTGAGAATCCAACTTGGGTTGTTCATTTCAAAATCAAACACTCAACCTACTGAGCTAATCAGATGGCTAAAGATCATAGTCATCTGATCCAAAATTTGTTATACCTATCAACACCGTGTGAATAAATAAGTATTAAATGAGTAAAAAATAATGCACAAATGTCAATATTTAAAGATATTATATATCAATGGGTCAAATTGACAAAAATAATTTCGATACATTTTGGGGCATTTTATGGCAAATCTCAAAAGAAAATGATTAAATACTATGTTAACAAATAACATTTCAGCTGTACATGTACATCTATACAGAAAAATGTGCAACTTTACTCTCAGCTTTTCAAAAACAACAAAATAGAAAAAATATATTGAAATCTAACACCTAATGAAAGTTTATAATTATTATTGCTTTTGAGTCATGGCAGAGTTTCCAGTTAATTTATCAATTGAAAAGAATTTCAATAAAATTTTTTTTTTACAAGACAGGATTGTCTGAGAAAGAGACATCGCATCGTTTGGACACGTCTGATAGTTTGAGATCTGAGAGAAACATTTCAATCCTGTCCAAAACATAGGTATTACGACAGTTTCTAAAGGGTATTCCTTATTCAATCCTCAGCTGAATAGCTTGTTTGATTCTACAAGAAAAATATACTGGTGCAGACAGGAATATCTAAACAAAAGGTACTTTCAAGGAGAGCCAGATAGTCCTGCCTGTGATGACATTCAGTGTTTCATTCTTTTTCTAGCATACCTAACAATTGTCATTAAAAAAGAAAATTCCAGCACAAGGGACCGATATCATCATAAGCACACAACAAGTATATAAAGGCCATGAAATGATGTAATTATAAAGCAAGCAACCAAATTTATACTTGATTTAAGATGAGATTTTCTAAGCACCATCAGAACAAATGCTAGAAAATCCACTTGATATGCAAGAATCAAAACCTACAACACTTTTACCCCTCAATATTTCATATTAATTGATACTTTATTTTTATACCTGTTACATAGTTACAACTACAACAATTAACAACAAAGTTGTAAAGATTTTAAAACAGCTCACAAAACACATATTTCATCAAATAACACCATAATCAAATATTCATTACTCTATTTTTAAATAATCATTAATCCACCATCAAATATTTGTTAACAACATTTGAAAATAAAACTGAAATATCATAAGAATGATAGCATAATGTAGAATCAATTAACAAAAAAATATAACAAAATAAAACTTCTCATTTATACATTAATAAACAGAAAAAACTTACATACAATACAAAACAATTTTTCCCATTCTGTTTCTTCTATAAAAAGATACAATAACATTTCCCGTATCATATCTACAACAAGATTTTCCCATATCGTATCTGTTATATCAAGATACAACATTCCCCGTATCATATCTGTTATGACTAATTACTGTACAAGATTCCAATGCCAATTTCATGACCTGAAATATACATTTCTAGTTCGAACTATGGCCAAAACCTAATTTTCTCATCCATAGTATCATATCAGAGCATTTGCTGTCACATACAGAGAAATTGGTAATATTTCTGGTAAGTTATCCAGGAAAGATGGTTAGGTGGACTGACTGCTGTGATATGACCAAAAACGTGGTAAAACTGGCATAAAACAAGAGCGATCAGTGATCACATGTGTAGCCTCATGATGGCCAATTTCATGTTGGGACAAGTTTTGTGACAGACGGACAGACAGACGGACAGTGCACAACTAGACTTGGTACTGTTCATTCCTGTAAAGTTTGGATAATTGCACCAGTAGTTTATGAGGAGTAGTCCGGACAAGTTTTGTGACGGACGG